TAGATAGTTAAATATATGTATATATATGCTTTGATCTAATAAAGATACCGGCGAGGCTGCCGATAATTAAAAAAAAATAAAAAAAAAAATAAAATAAAATAAACCTTATAATAAATCTTTTGATAAACCTTATAATGAATCTTGCAATAAGACTCAGAAATTAACAAAGTCAACAAATATGATTTGTTTAAATGAATTAAAAATAATAAATTATTATCTTCAACAACTGAAACTACTATAACCAATAAGTAAATTACTTTATTTAAAACCTTAGTATTAATTTTATATTATATACTGATATATTTGGTTATAAGTCACTTGTATAAAACTATTTTAAAAAAAAATCAAAATAAAGATAAATTAGTTAAATTAACTGCAATATATAATTATTGTGATAAATATTTAAAAATATAAGAAAATGAATCTACTTTAAGCTTCTGAAAACACCTTATATACTGTCACAAAAATGATGTACTAAAGTTAAAAGAATTGAAAGAATCTGATATAAAGCAAAATATTTTGTATTAGATATACCAAAAAAACAAAGCTATAAGTTATTAAAAATTTTACAAATATACAATTACACTAATTTGTTAATATATATTGTTATATTAGTAGATTTTATTAGTATATTTTAGAAGATTTTATGTGTATATTTTATTAGTATTGTTTATATTTATTATATATACAGTACGGGACAGCATATATCAATATCAAAACTAGCCTTTTAAAAAAAATTAACTAGTTGTTTAATTTTAGCTTTATTAAAAAAATAATCTAACCAAAATATTTTTTTAAAGCATAAATATCATTTGGTTAAAATAAAAAATTTAAAATATTTGTACATTTAAACATTATAATACTTTAAAGTTATCTAATTTTTATATAAAAACTAAAATTTGGCTGGTAAATATAATTGGCCAAGAGCTGTGCACGTGATATGAACTGATTTCTGATTGGCTAGTTGCAAGTACCCCAGCCAATAAATTCACCCCGGACAATATGGTATCAAAAAAAGAAATGTTGCTATATAACGATACCTGTAAAACAAAATGTATTCGATAATAGACTGCAATATTTAACCGTCATGGCATTCAACAGGAAATTCTTAAGTTTGTAATTCAAATACTGTATTATAGTACAGGGTGAAACCTGAGTTGATTTTTATTATCAGTGTCGATACGAAAAGGGTGAAATTCAGTTACCTTTTTGATGCATATCTATAATTAATTAGGATTAGGCAGTAGTGTGCATCAATAATGTAACCACCTTTGACGTAGGTTTCACCCTATCACAATATAATAATAAAGAATAAAAACTGGTTAGAGAATAGTACAATGCAAAAATAGAAAACTCTAAATTAAAAGGAGGAACAATATATATAAATATATATACTTATATACGTACTCCTAGTATACATTTCAAAAGCTCAGTGAAGTTATATGAAGCTATGCTAACTATCATTATAAGAAGTAATGATGCAAATTACTGTATGAGTATAGATTGATATTTGATACAGTACTGTACGTATAATTCTGTTATAATACTGTTATTTTTTTTTAATTTTTAAAAGCTAGATTTTTTTTGAAAAATACTTTGTTAGGTTATAAAGATTTCTTATATATTAGATCTAAAAGCACACAATTGTTAGTAAATGGATAATAGCAAATTTGATCTTGACGTTGCATATATAGTATTTACTGTAAATTGGTATTCTATGCGAAATGATGTAATAAATATGTAATAGATTCAAAGTAAATAAAAGAAAAAATTCTGATTAAAAAAATAATCGGTTCTCTTTTTCAAAAGTAATACTTACACTAAGTAGTGTCTTGTGCAATAAATGCCACCAGTAAGCAAACGTGTTCGTAAGTTGCAAAAAAATATATCAATTGCTCGCCAAATATTACAAAATATAGAAAATGCTAAAAGTATTTAAAGTGATAGTGATATCAGTAACAATGAAGTGTTTGAAGAAAATGCGTTTATGGATGAAGAAAAAGCAGAAGCAGTTAGTAATGTGTTTGAAGAAATGATTAACCAAATGAACCAAAAAAAAATAATAAATAAAAAATGTTCACTTACTTATATTGGAAATTTTGAAAGAACACATCGACGTAAAAGAGCTAAAAGCAGACAAGCTGCTGCAGGAACAATTAATATTATGAATTTTTTTTCTAAAGATGAAAAATTCGATCTAGAAAGTAGTGATAATGACAACCAAGATGTAGACTGTATTGATGATGATGACCAAGATGTAGACTGTATTGATACAGAAAATAATCAGCAGCAAAGTATTGAGAATAATCAGCAGCGAAGTATTGATAATAATCAGCAGCAAAATATTGATAACACAATCAAGAAAATTGAAATAATGATAAAAAATGAGAAGCCTAGAAAGGTTGAACTAGTGCATTATCAATCAGTTATCTGGTATTTGCGTTTATTGCAAAATGGAAAAAATAAAACAGAATCTAATGAAACTGTCACAACAGTTTATAATAAAGGCAAATATTATACTCGATGCGTAAGAAGATGGGCTGCTATATGTTTAAAGGGTTATTATTATATAATCTATAATCTGTAAAGTTTTTTCTCAAAGATCTTATATAAAATATTAATTCTGTTTCATAATATTATCAATAGATGAACCTTTGCCTCAAAGTTTTCAAGAGAAACATCCATCTAAGTCATTTCTTCAAGACGAAGCTATATCTATACGTATAGCAAATTACCTCAGATCAATAAAATTTCAAGCAAATTCTTATTTAGTAAAGCAGTATTTTGAAGAAAAAGTAGTTCTGGATCTTGGATTTACTACACCGCAAATAATTAGTATTAGAACAGCACAAAGGTGGATGCATCACTTAGGCTTCGTATATCAACAATATCATATGAGAATTTATATTGATGGACATGAACGTCCTGATGTTGTTGCATACTGAAATAACTTTTTAAAATTAATGGATGAATTTGATTTGTTAATGCCAAAATGGCTGGATAAGGAGTGTAAAATAAAAACACTACCTATATTACTTTCAAACCAAAAGCCTCATATTTTGATAACACATGATGAATCAACATTTCATGCATATGATGGAATGCATACTTTTTGGGGACTATATAATGAACAACCTCTGAGAAAGAAAGGTTTAGGTGTGGGTTTACATGTAAGTGAGTTTTTGACAGAAGATATTGGTTGGTTGAAGGATAATATAGACGAGGCTCAAGTAATTATAACATTAGACGCAAATCGTGATGGGTATTGGAATAGTAATAAACTATTAAATCAGATACGTAAAGCTGTGATTATATTTGAACGTATACATCCAGAAACTATTGGGATATGGGTATTCGATAATGCAACGATTCATACAGCAATGGCACCTGATGCATTAAATGCAAAGAAAATGAATCTGTATCCTGGTGGTAATCAACCATTAATGCGTTCAACAATGTGGAATGGTCATAAACAAAAAATGGGTTTTCTTTCTGATTATGAAAAAAAAGAGTTACGAGGTCAAGCAAAAGGTAAAAAATATTTAATTTTATTTAGGGTTTATATTTTTAAATTGAGATCTTTAATTTCCAGCTTTAGCTATTTCTAGCTTTAGCCATAACATTATTACTTATATTTATTTATTATAATTAAAGGGATGAAGGTTGTTTTACAAGAACGCGGGTTATGGAAAGAAGGGCTATTAGCTGATTGTAAGGGTGAACATACAGGAACAGAATGCTGTGTACGTCAAATACTTCTTAATCAACCTGATTTTTTGATGCAACGAGGATTAATACAAGAAGAATTAGAAAAAAGAGGTCACAAAGTAATTTTTTACTCAAAATTCCATCCTGAACTTAATTATATTGAGATGTATTGGGGTGCCGCAAAAGAATATGCACGAAAGCATTGTGATTATTCATTGGTAGGCTTACGTCGTATTGTTCCAGAAGCTTTAGATTCAATTTCAGTAGAACATATCCATGCATATGCTAGATTAAGTTATCGATGGATGGATGCATATCGATGTGGATTAATAGGAGAAGCAGCTAACTATGCTGTCCGTAAATATAAAAGTCATCGAAGAATTAATGGAGTAATGCCACAGTAATTGTAAAATTAATATAATAACAATTTCAATAAAGATTTTAAACGTACATATATACGTATTGCATGCATAAACCAAATTTTAAAAGTTTTTAACTTTTAATAAATGTATATGTATTATATACCGATAGTATATATATCTTATAAATTAAAAACTATAGATACGTACTATATAATTAATAATGCATGTTTATTAGATGATATATATAAACATGTGACTCTGCATATTTTTAAAATTTGGCCGCTCTTATATAAGGGGTGTCAGTTTATGCTGTCCCGTACTGTATATTTTTAGCTTTAGTTTAATAAAAAAATTTTGACAAATAGTATTAATTTTAGTATAATATTAGAAACGTTATCTGGTATATTAACAGGTACATTAATTGGTATGTTAACAAATATATTAATTGAGACATTATCTGGTATATTATTTGAATTATTATTTGGTTTGTTATTTGGTACATTAATTGGGTCATTAACTGGATTGTTAAATGGGTCATTAACTGGGTCGTTAACTAGATCATTAACTAAATTGTTAACTAGATTGTTAACTGGATCGTTAACTAGATCATTAACCATTACAGATTAAAATGAAATCTGATTAAAATGAAATTTTTCTGTTTTTTAAAGAAAATTTAAAATTTTTTAGTAGATATTTTTTAGGATTCTTTTTAGTATTAGGGTAGAGTTTAGAGTTAGATTTATTAATAAATGAGTATATATAGATTTTATAGGCTCTAAAGATGGACATAAGAGGTTTCTAGTTTTATTTTAATCAGATTTCATTTTAATCTGTAATATTAACTAATAGTCTAAAAGATATAAAAACTCTGCCTTTTTTCTCAAGGCAAGGCAGACTGTCTTCTATTCACTTTTAATTCTTTGTTATTTATAGTTTATTTTCTTAAAAATATAGCCATCATCTACCTTCTTTTTATTGTATTTAATAAAGTTTTTATTGTATTTTTATTGTATATTTAAAGTTGAACCATCACTTCTTCTTTTTTTTTTAAGTATTTATTTTTGATATATTAAGTTGAGCTATTGTTTCTTCTCCCTTTTCTTAAGTATTTTATTGTGTTTTAGGTTTAGAGCCATCACTTCTTTTCTTTATTTTTGGTTTATTATTTTACTTTAAAGTTTCTTTTAGTTTTCTTTCTGATTTTATTCTTTTTTTATTTGCAAATACATTTCTTAACCCTCTTATATATTAAGTCAAGTAGTATAGCTTTACTAAAACCCTGTATTGCTATATTACAATATCTTTATAATATCTTTGAAAATACTAATAATTATTAGGCTTCAAATTACTATTGTGAACCCTTTGACTCTAAAAAATTTAATAATCTTGTTAAACAATAGGTAATTAAGTATAATTGATTATTTCATATAGTTAAAGATAATAGTTTTAAATCAATATATACATATTTGGAATCTAAAATATTTGGTAAATTTTGTTGTTATTTAATATAATATTTGTATTAAACTAAAATAATTATAGTTCTGCTAATATTTTACTCTAACAATAATACTGACACAAATTTTTTGATTTGACCTTTTTTTGTAATTATTTTTTATAAATAATATTATACTCTTTATTTTTATAATTTGTTAGTACCATCTTTAGATTTAATAAAAAAGTATATTATTAACAATTTCAAAGAAAAATATGAACAATTCCAAAAAAATTACAAGAAGTTTCTGGATATAAAGTATTTATAACTAATATCTGAACAACTAATAATAATGACAACTTATTTATAACAGTCATCATTCATTATTTAAATGCATCATAATCTATAAAACACTTTTTACTCAATTTTATCTATATAAATAGACAACATACAGATGCTGAAATTACTGATATTATAGAAAACTGTTTTAGATCTATAGGCATTAGTTTAAAAATAAGTGCAATTATGTATAATAATATATATTCTAATAACAAATTTTTATAAGATTTTTCTAATTCTATTTCATCAATTAGTATTTATTTTGATGACAAATAACAATTTATACAATGCTTTGTCTACATCCTAAATCTTGCAGTATAAAGCTTTTTAAAATATAGACAATAAATTAGAAATAATTTTTTTTTTTTTTTTTGTTGTAAATGTCATAGTTGAAACTTTATTTAATAAAATAGAAAAAAAAAATTCTACATTAAAGACTTCAGAACTACATTTGTACTACTATATTAGGCACCCAATGTGACATTATACCTTCTAGGTTTTTATATAATGCAATCAATTATTGCTATAAATTGGTTTGCTAGAATAGGTTAGAGGAAACCTAAGGTATATATCA